CGTCCCGCCGCCCCGCCCCTTCCGGTCCCCGCGGCTATCCGGCCGCCGTCACCCGGCAACGGCCCCAACAGCCAGTCCCGCCGCCGTGCTGGGCGCAACTGGGCCGAGCTCGCGGTCCCCGCCGCGGCCTCTGCGCCTGGCTGGACGGGCTCCCGCTCAGCGCCCCCAAGCGCCACCTGGCCCGGGACTTCAGCGACGGCGGTGAGGGCGGGCCGGCGGGGAGACGCCGGGGACTGCCAGGCCGGGGTCCTTGGCGGGAGGACCGAGGGCTTGGGGGTGCCCGGCCGGGGAGGGTGGAGGCCGCAGGGCCGCCCGTCAGCAGGCTGAAGGATGCCCAGCGGTCAGACCGCAGGGCCCGGCCAGTGCCTGCGAAGCGTCCCAGCCGCGCAGGCTCCCTGCAAGTGCAGGAGACCCCAGAGCACGGGCGTGAGGGGCGCTCTGGAAGGAACGGGGCCGCGATGCGGCCGGCCCCTGGAGGAGGAGCCACGTGGCAGACAGGCGCCGCCTGCTGCGTCCAGCTGCGGTCGGGGGGAATTCCCCTCCCCCTGCATTTCCTGGGGAGGAGGGGGCAGCCTCAGCGCTCCTCCTGCAGCCCCTCCGACCCCAGGCCGGCTCTCCCAGCCCTCTCCCGGGGGCACCCACACGCTGCTGGGGGACCTGCAGGCTGGCCCCTGTGGCCGCTCCCCCAGGACGTGGACTGTCCCGAGTTCTCCCGCCTGGTCTCTGTCCTCCTCCACCTCAGGGGCCCTGGGAGACTGATGTGTAAGGAAAGGAAGACTTCTAAGCTCATCAGGCCAGGCTGACCTTGCACCCCCCGCGCCTCCAGTGATGCTGGCAGAGATCGTGAAGCACTTCTACCCCCGGCTTGTGGATCTGCGCAACTATGTCCCCACCTGCAACACGGACCAGAAGCTCAGCAACTGGAGCATTTTAACAGGCAGGCCTTCTGCCTCCCTGCCCCACTCCTTGCTCTCCCCTACCCCTCCTGGTCTCTGGGGCACGTTCTCAGGCTGTTTCCCTGACAGCCTTGTCAGTGTTTGTGTCCCCTCTCCGCTGGAGTCTCACCATCAGCCACCAAGAGGACAGCACAGTCAGCTTGAGACCCACCCACCAGGGCGTCAGTCCTGCCCTCCGACTGTGCTCAACCCATGCTGACCGCACCTCTCACTCACTGACTCACCAGTAATTCTGGGCCCCTGCCTTCATGGGGTTGACGCTCTGCCTAGTGGGAAGACAGATAAATGAGATGCAACCAGCGTCAGTCGTGATGGGTAATAGGAAGGACAAGGACCCTGAGGAAGTGACAGCAGAATGAGGTGTGGGTGACCAAGGGGGGCAGCGGAGGCTGCCCTGGGGGGCAGGGAGCAGGGTCCCTGTGCTCCTGAAGCTGTCCGTGGCCCCTGGAGGCCATGGTCAGGACCTGGCTCCGAGCCTGACGGGGATAGAAGGGACTGCGAGGTTGAGACCTGGGCAGGTTCTGGTAGGACTCATTTCAGAGAGCTGTGAGGGAAAAGGGGACTTGGGGGGAGGTGGAGGCCGCTGCCCAACCCCAGGGGTGAGAGGGGGAGGCTCTAGGGGTGATGAGAAGTCTGATTCTGAGCACCTTGGAGGGGAGCCAGCAGGACTTCCTCACCAGAAGGTGAGCTCTCCCACAGAGGCCCAGGCTGGGCCAGGCCCGGCCTGAAGGCGCAGGGCACTGACTACTCTGGACCCGGATGGGACGGCTGGGAACAGGGTGGTTGCGGGGCTTCTGTGGGTCCAGGGGCAAGAAGGCACACGAGTCCCAGCCTCTCCTCCAAGGAAAGCCAGACCCACCTCCTGGCCCCACAAAGTGCACTGCTCTGAGGACTACCCCCACTTCCTTTGCAGGAAAGTCTTTCACAAGCTGCGTTTGTGGGTCTCAGAAACGGAAATCCGAAGGGTGGTGGACAACACGCCTGGGGTCATCAAGCCCATCTTGTGTGCACTGAGGGAAAAGGTGAAGGATGGCGCTGTCCAGCAAGCCCCGCTCTCTACAGCTGTACGTGTTGGGGCCATTGTATGGCCTTAGACCTGCCGCGTTTGTCATGCTGGGATGTGGCCACGTGGGGATGAAGGCCTTGCACACCCGCGACCCTGGGGGGCAGACTGGTGAAGCCCCAGCCCTTGGCCCTTTCCTGGCCTGACCCACTGGCCCCGGGATGGTGAAAACTCCCTGTGCCCAGGCCAGCCCGGGCCATGCTGGCTCCTCTCCAGTTTGCCCCCCCACCATCTGTGCCTAGAAACACAGGGAGGTACGTTGGCAACATGAACGATGAGCAGCCCCTCCTCGGCCGGCCCTCACTGTACAACCTTTAAAACCTTTGCAGGATCCAGGACCCACCAGGGCTAATGCTGACAGACCATGGGCAGAGCTCACCACCCCAGCACACACTGGTAGTATCCAAATCCCCAGGTTTGGGGAACTGAGGCCCGTCACAACCCCCTCAGGCCTCCCACGAAGGGCAGTGTCAGACGAGGCATGTGGCTCTCTCGAGTTCACACCTCCGGGAGAGGGGGTCCTTGCTCTGAGGGGATGGTCAGGGGAGTCCTGGCTCCAAGGCCCCCCAGGCTGCAGCTTCCTGAGTGGGAGCCCGCCGCCCTGCCCGCAGTCCATGAGGGGGCCATTCCGAGGCATCCAGGGCTGTACTGTGGGATGGCGTCAGGCCAGAGGGCGCCTGCGTGGTGCCTCTGTGGGCTCCGTGCCCCCCCCCCCCCCCCCTGTGCTGTGGCCGGGTCAGCCTCTTCCCTGAGCTCCTGCGTCTGCTTATCTCACAGGCCTGCCGTACCCACGGCACCCTCCAGTGCGAAGACCCTCCGGAGTCCGAGGACTCCAGAGAAGACAGGCCCCTGTCTCCTGACCTCAGCCGCTCCACTCTAAGCTACCCCCACCAGCCCTCTGGGTTAAAGGCTGGGTGTTTGCCTTTCGGTCAGGACCCAGCCGGTGGGTGCTGGGAGCACCTGGACCCCAGGCCGCAGCAGCTACTGGAGGAAAAGGAGCAGGCTGTGGCCGTGCTGCAGGAGATGGTCAAGGTGCAGTGACCTGGGTGCCCCTCAATGCCCAGACACCCCCCAGGAGGCAGGGGGGCTGCCTTCCCTTCTGGGAAGCCGGGACCCAGTGTGGGTATGGCAGGAGGTGGGGCAGGCAAGGTCCCTGACCAGGGAGAACCCACAGTTAGTTTGACTATTTAGAAAACAGCTTAACTGTGGAACATTCCAAACATACCCACAAGCAGAGAGAAGAGTATGGTGGACCTCCATTCCCCATGACTCACCACCACCCAGCCTTGGCAGTTATCAGACCCCAGGGCCCACGGGGACTATAGACAGTCACAGGTGCCACCACCCAGAGGTGCTGGATGACAGGCCCCAGGGCTGGGGGCTGAGTCAGGGAGCAGAAAACACCCCCCAGCCCAGGGCCTATGCCTGGTTCCGCAGGTGCACGGCTCTTCCTCTGCTCCTTCACTAAGGGTCTGCAGTGTTCCTGGGTTCAGGAAGTGCTCCGGTCCCTCGCTGACATAGAGAGGGGGCACCCCCACCCCCACCCCTATGGGAGCGCAGGCTGTGGGTTTGGACCTGAGACAGTGCAGGGAGGGTGGGGGTGTGCAGTCGGGTTTCAGGGCCAAAGAGCCATCAAGAATTGTGAGAACAGCACGGTTCCCTAGCGGATACCCAAATCTTGATGAGCTGTTTTCTTGAGGAAGCCAGAAAGTGATATCATCCTGTGGTTGGGATTTGCTGAAGGCAGCAGAGAGGAAGTGATAAGCAGCAACGGAGCTGAGGTCACCGTCATGCCCACACTTGCGGCACCGGTCCACGTGCCAGCAAAGCGCATCGTAACCGTTTCACTTCACCAAACCCGGAGGGGAGCACAGCTGCTCTGGCCCTTGAAGTGACGGCACAGCTGCTGCGATGGTCGCCGATGGGAGATCCGCCCCGGGGAGAAGACACAGTCCCGGGGGAGTGGGGGGGCGTTCCTTGGTTTGCCTGTGGAACAGCAGCTGTGGGTCATCCGGGCGGACGGCGCTAGCTCCGCGTGCGGCCGCGGGCCTTCGCAGCTCGGACTGGGGAGTGGGCGTGGGGGTCGCGCTGCCCACGCTGGCCCACGCTGGCCAGGGCTCACGGAGGGGTTTGATGAGACGCCGACCCCTGCCCAGACCGGCTGGAGCTGTCTGTCCGTGGCTAGAGCGTGGGCCGCCACACCGTTGACTTCCCCTCCGTGTTTGGGGGGGACAGCTTTCTCTCGGCTGCTGTGCTGTGCCTGGGGCTGTGCTTGCAGTTAGGGAAGGCGTGTGACGTGGCTCCGGAGCTGTTCCCACGGCCGGACAGCCTGCGGCGTGGAGCCTGGCGGTTCCTCGTGCACCGACGGCATGGGAACGTTTCCTTGGCTGTTAACTTTTGGGAGTAAAGAGTGCGCATGCTGCCCAAATGCAACGCCTACGTTCAGTCAACCGTTAACTCCACAAGCCTGACCCCCAAACCTGCCAGGGACCAGGCGGGGCTCTTCCAGCAGGGCGGGGCTGCAGAGGGCGCGGGCTGGGGGGCTCCACCAGGTCTGGGCAGCTCTGGCCAGCCAGGACCCAGGAATGCGCCAGAAGGGGTGAGGGAGGAAAGCCAGCACCTCCCATAACCACCCCCTTCCTCCCATGTCCTGCCTCCCCGACTCTATTCCTGCTGCCCAGAACCCCCAACTGCATGGTCACCCCGGGTGCACTGAGCTCATTTCTGACAGGACCTTTCCCTCGGGGCCCCCTTGAGGGCTTTTGATGTAAGCACCGGCCATGTGGCCCTCACGGTGGGGCTAGCTGGACGCTCAGCTTGGGGCTGACCCTGCCCAACCCCCAGCAGAGGGACTGGGCGCTGCCTTTCAGACATGTGTGTTCTCCTGAAGATTTTGCAGATGAAGGTGGTCGGGCTGGAGCGCCTGGTAAAGCTGAAGGACCAGCAGATCGGAGAGCTGATGAGACCTGGGGACAAGTCCCAGGGAGCGAGAGTGGCCGTGGAGAAAGGCTCCTCCGAGAGGCCCAGGACCCACCCCTCCCAAGGCCACTAGACCTTGAACTTGAGCTTGCACGGAATGCCCCAGACCGTGCCGGGTCCAGCGGGCTCAGAGTGGGACACTGGTGGCCAAAGTGCGGCAGGGGCCTTGGTGTGTGGGTGTTCAGAGTGTGGAGGCCAGGGGTTCCAGCCCACGCCAGAGACCCGCCCGGATGCGAAGACTCTGGTCTCGCTCCCTGGAGCCCCTGAGCAGTGCTGTCGTCATGTGTCTGTGAACAAAGTTCCTGTCTGTGGGGTGTTGCATTGACACGGTGGTTGGGGAGGTGCTGGGCCAGCACGTCCTTCATCAGCCAAACTGAAGTCCTGTGGAGGAGTCTGTGGAAACAACAGTCCCTGGGGTCGCTGCACTTTCGGCACGAAGGGAGCACGTGAAGTTTGGGAAGAGCCATCTGAGCAAGCTGTGCAGGCGCCGGGCGCCCTCCATGAGTGGTTCTGGGTGCCTTGCCGCAATCCCCCAAGATGGCCCGGGCCCTCCAGTCTGCTCTGGAGGGGTCGGACCCGGTGTTGCTGTGGCCTTCTCACCGTGGGCTAGGCCACGTGGAGTCCCCATCCCTGGGTTGGGGACTTCAGGGCCGTACGTTGGTGTGGCCAGACACTGTGGTCGGCCTGCATCCCCCTGCTGGGAGGACACCCTGGAGCTTTGGTTCTGCGCTCCCCTCCCACCGCCTCACTGCTCACCCCCCACCTCCTGGGGCCTGAGCCTGGCCCCCTGCAGGGACTCAAAGCCACAAACGGCCTCCAGGGTTTCTGAGTCCTCCTCAGCCCTGAGTCAGACGGCCCGTGTCCTCCCTGACTCAGTGTGTCCCTAGGCCGCTGAAGCGTGTGTTAGGGCTTTGGGGCTCCGAGGGTGGGTCCAGGGCCCTGGAGAGAGAGTTGGGGCTAAGCTGCTTGGAAGCACGACCGGCCAGGAGGCGCGTGGAGACTCCTGCGTCAGGTGGCTGTTTTGGTGGATGGGGGTGGGGGCGCGACATCCAGGAGGGGAGCCGTTCTGGAAGAGCGCTCAGGTGCCTTCCTGGTGGGCCCGGGAGGGGCGGTCTCGGGGGTCTCCTACACAGCCTGACCCTGGAGAACGAGGAGCCACAGGGTTTATGGGGGTCCAGGCCCCGCTAGTTGTGGACGTCGGGGCTACAAATGGCCTGTGCATGTGCCTGGTGTCAGGAGTCAGAAAATCTGCCCAGAAATGGGGACTCGCTCAGAGCCCAGAGCTCGGGGCAGCATCTTGGCAGTCGTGGGAGGGGCGGGAAATGCCTGGGGAAGGCCTGGCTCGGAGCCTGAGTCAGGACAGACCCCAGGGGCTTTAGACCCGGCCCTGGCTGCCTGCCCAGTGCCTGCAGGAGTCAGGATGCGGTGGGGGCATCCCGTGCCCTCCCGTTGCTTCGGGGGTGCAGCAGGGGGCTGCCAGCCTGCTCCGGGGCCCAGACCCGTACGCACACCTGCGCACTCCTGAGGCTGGTCGGTCCCTCGTCGAAACGGGAGGCTGCTCTGTGTGTGTGCGCGTGAGCGCCAGCCTGTGTGCACGGTCATGCCCACGTGCTCTCCAGTAGAGGTGGCCCTGAGGGCTGGGTTTCGGGGGGGAGAGAGAAGAGGGAGTTTGGGGAATGTGGCCCCAGGTGATGGCGCCTGGAGGCAGGGGCCACTTCCAAACGCAGGCCCTGCTGGCTGACCTACAGATAGGCCTATGGGCGACCTCTTTGGGGATGGGGAGGGCTAGGGGGACAGGCAGGGAGCTGACCAGGGGCCAGGGAGCACACAGCAGGGAGAGGGGGTGGGAGCCCCACCCTGTGAAGGAGCACCTGGTTTTGCATCCCCAGCATGAGCTAGAATGAGGAACAGCCCAAGGGGGGTGTCTGGGATTCTGGGGGTCCTGATTCAAGGGCCTGGGGCCCCCCTCTGACCAGACCAGCTCCTGGAGGGACACCCTCTACACCCCTGCCCGGGCAGTGGGCTCGGAGTTCCTGGCTGTGGGCAGAGCTGACTCAGGCCTGGCCCCCTGGGCAGTGATGGCAGAAGCTGCCAAGCCACACACCCTGTAGGAGGCAGGACCTCGGGCTGGCACTTGAACCCTCCAGCCTCTGTACAGGAAGCCCCTCCCCAGCAAAGACCCCCAAACTGAAACCCCAATGACGGTTCCTTTGGGGGCTCCCTCTGGCCCAGCAGCACCCATGACCTTGGGTGGCCGTGATGTCACAGGACTTCCCGCGGCCAGCTTGTGTCCCCTCTGCGGGGCTGGGGACTGACAGTCAAGCCTGAGTGCTGGCCAGGGTGCTCCACATGGGACCCCAGGTCAGGAGGTGGGGTGGGGTTGGGACCCCCTGAGGAGAGCAGACCGCTTGTGCCCCCTCAGGCCCTCCCCAGTGTGCTTGCCTCTTGGGGTGGCACTCAGAAGAGCACCAGACAGGTGCTGGAGGGGACGGTGTGTGCCACAGGCTGCAGAATTGGGGTTACCTCGGGGCCTGTACGAAGCTGTTGACAAGTGAACCATGGGGGCGCCGCTGTGGGTCCCCCCCACCTCATTCTGTTTACCTGGGCCCCTAGGGCAACTTCATGGTCAGGCCAGCACAATCACAGGCCCAAGAGGCTTCTGGATCCTTCTCTGGGGCGTGGAACCCCAGCACAGTGCCACAAACTCCCTTGGAGGGTCGTCATCCCAGGTCTGAGGGCCCCCACCCCAGGCCAGAGGGTGCTCTCCAGGGGACCACCTGCCCCTGGGCTCTCAGGACTCAGGTGGTCCTGGAACCTGGGGTGCAGGCTGAGGGTCTGATGCCTCGCACGCCCACCTCGGGGCGGGGGGGCTCCTGCCGATGGTTAACAAGTTGGAAGGCACGGTGCCCTGCACGCCCGGGGTGTGGGCTCGGGCCTGGGTCTCCAGCCCTGCCAGGAAGCGGACGCAGAGGTGTTGCCCATTGCGGTGTGCTCGCAGTTGCTCAGGGTGCTCAAGGTGGTGGTGGGCTGCCCTGCTGTCCAGGCCTCCTTGGGCAGGAAACCCGTGAGTGACACCATCCCGGTGCCGTTTCCAAGGTAACCCTACAAGGGACGGAGCCTGGGGGTAAATTCAGGACAAAATCAGAAGCCCGGCCAACCCCACCCTGCAGCTGCTCCTTCTCTAGTTCACGGTTTAACTTTCTGTTGAAGCAGAGTGTGGGCAGGCCGCCTCCGCCAGGCCCACACACCAGCCTACCTCAGTCCTCAGTTCCTGCCCGCGATGCATGTGCACGGAAAGTGCTAGAACCAAGTGAGTGCCTCCAAAAGGGATCCAATGTAACGCATACCTTCATCCCTGTGTTCAGAGCTGAAGGCAGAGCAAAAGGGGCCGAAGATGGGTCTGAGCGCAGAACGCCCAGCATCTTCCCACTCGGGGACGGATTCCTTCCTCCCAGGGCAGCAAGGCTCTGGGAGGCCGGGAGCAGCCCCGCTGACCCGCTCCCGACTGGCCAGCTCTGGCGTACCCACACACGCGGGCCTCCCGCACTCAGAGCCCCGGTTGCTGGCCATGGGCTCAAATCAATTCCTAGCTGAGAGCTCACTCCAGCTTTCTCCCGCTGCGACCCAAGCACAGCAGAACCGGCACCTGAGAAGGAGAAGTTTAACGGGAGCCGCGCCAGCCCGCCCTCCCCGCCCCTCCCCAGGCTAGACAGCAGGAGGTGGGCGCAGGGGAGCAAGGCCCTTCACTGGGCAGATCTTTCTGCACGTGTTAAATATTTCAATTTTTAAACTTTTTAACGGAAAACCCTAGGATGCACAGAGGTGTCGATGTGAACTGGTGACTAGAAACCCACCGCCCAGGACAGCTGAGTGCGCCCGCGGCCTCTCCAGGCCTCACCGCTTCTCCGCCCGGCCCCGCCCACGCCCAGGGTCAGCCAAGATCTGGAGTGGCTTGGGCCCGGAAAACCTGCTTCCTCATTCATTTGCCAAATGGGGAAGTGAAGTTCCCAGGGGGCGGGGTGGGCCTGGCCTCACTCCCACTGCCCCCCCCACCCCTCGGGGCCTGGCCCAAGAGTGACCCCATGTGGCCACTTCAGGAATCACGCCTCCTTGACCCTCAGAAATGGGCAACACACTGCCGGGGTTTGTAAGTTATTGCACCTTTGGGCTTTAATGACCAGCAGGCCTGGTTCCCCATTACCTTCCTGCCCAGAAGGACTGGGAATTCCCACTTCGGCCGGAAGCCTGTGAGGTCACTGCTGCCGGCTGGAGGGTGGGGGAGCGGGCAATGGGGCACCACCCCTCTCCCCGGGGTGGGCAGAGACACAAGCGACCGGCATGGTCTCCGCTCTGTGGGGAGCCCCTGCCCACCTGATGCCCTTTCCCTTGTTCATAAGTCTATGTTTTCATGAATTTTGAAACAACGGATCCAACTTTCTAATCCTCTTGCACCCACCTTTCCATTCCCAGCTGTGTTTTTGAGTGAGTACAAGAGTCAGGGGAAGCCCTGGGCAGGTCTGAGCTGGACACACCTGGAGGGGGGCGGGCGGGCGCCCAGGTTGAGGCCACCCCAGGACTCCCACGGGGCCCCACAAGCTCCTGATGGCTTAACTTCCGGCAAAAATCACTCCACGCGGGCCGTGTGGTGCCAGGTGCAGTGATGTGGAAGCGAGTGAGGAGGACCCTCTCTCTGCTGGTTCCAGTCCCGAAGCACTGGGACGAGCAGAGTGACAGCATCCCCACCCTCATGGCACCACAGGCAGGATGGGGAGTGGGGGTACCAGCCAGAAATGGCGCAGGGAGCAGGGAAATGCAAACACGGGCATTGTAGAGTGGGGGGCCGGGGAAGAGGAAATGACTTGAAGAAAATGAGGTTGATGGCTCGGGCACGCGGAGCAGCAGGGACAAAGGCCCTGGGGCAGAGAGCCAGGGGTCAGAGGGATCTTGTCTTATGGCCTGCGGGCTGGTGGGGCTCCGCGTGGGGACACTTTGCCCTGAGAAAGGTGCGGGCCATTGGCAGTTTCTGGCAAGCGAGAGGCTCAGCATTCTGTCAGGGTCCTTGTGACTCTGGTGGGTTGGGGCCTGGGGGCTGAGAGACCCCCCCCCACCCCAGACAAGCCCGGTGGAGGAGGCCTGGGAAGGAGCAGCAGAGGTTTGAGAAGTCCTGCCCTTTGGATTGGCTGTGAAGGAACCCTTCGCACAAATGTCCTCAGCATCACTAATGAAACACGTCCAGAACTCCAGAGAACAGGGAGAGGATGGCTTTTACTAAAAGGGCTGTCCGCAAAGGTGTTCCCAGACGGAATGAAAACCCCAAGGTCCAGGGCTCACTTGGGGGTTCAGACATTGCATGAGCTCCTTAGGTTGTATTTCTGAGCTGGGAAAGCTTGGGTGCTCAGCTTGGTATTTCGCATATCTTTTTGCACATATTATAACTTTTTTTTTTTTTTAAGCGAGACAGAGCGAACACAAGCAGGGAGAGGAGCAGAGGGAGAGGGAGAAGCAGGCCCCCCGTTAAGCAGGGAGCAAAACAAGGGGCTCCATCCCAGGACCCTGGGATCATGACTGGAGTCGAAGGCAGACGCTTCACCATCTGAGTCATCAGGTGCCCCTATTTTGTAACTCAACATTTTTAAGGGGAAAAACTCAGGGATGCACAGAAGGTGTGAAAATGTGAACTGAAGATTAGAAATGCACTGTTGAACATCCTGCTTTTGTAAAACTTTAGAAATTTACTTAAAATATAAAGTTTAGATCAAAGCTTTAAATGACTGCGCGTGGTAAGTGAGCAGACGAGGAGTGAAACCACGGATGAATACTCAGGAAGAGAACTTGCTGGCCAGTGAGAGCCTCCAGGGCGCAGACCGCTGCCTCCCTGAGGGGGTGCCTGCAGACGGCCCCAGGCCTGGGAAGCCCCCCACCCCCACCACAGGCGCCCGAGATTGGGGGGACGCACACACGTGGCCCCAAGGAGGAGAAGTGGTGCCTAGGATCCAGGCTGGACAGAAAACCAGCGCAATGGCCGGTGATGGCTTTTGGGCAGCATGCAGACATCTCTTTTCCATATTGCTCTCAATTTCCATAGTAGCAATATTGTTCTATAATTGGGAAGAAATGGAAAATGATGGTTCTTCCCAGCTTGCCTGGGAGATGCAGAGTCCTGCTGCCGCCTCCCCCTGGTCTTCTCAGAGACTCGCGAAGCACACAGGACAAGGACCCACCGGGCAAGGTGCTCAGGCGTGGGCCTGCGGCCTCCGGGCCCCACGCCAGCAGGAAACACAGAACCTCGGGCCGGGAGGTGGTGGCTGGGGCATCCTGCAAGGTGGCCCTGCCCCAGGGAAGGGGTGGGGACCCCACGTCCAGACCCTTCTGACCCCCCCACGCCCTCCCGCATCTTCTCACAGGGTCTTTGTCTCCTCTCCTCCCGCACACAGTGAAATAAAACGGTACCTACCCTCCGTGCCCCTGACTCCATCCCTCAGGCCGGCCTCGTGGCTCGAGTCTAGGCAGAGGGCAGGTTCAGAGGTCAAGGAGGGTGGATGGGGGTGGGGGACAGCAGGTTGGAGTGGGGGAGTAGGGGCTGCAGGGCCGGGGTAGGTGACTGCCACTGTGAGGGTGTCACCTGGATGTGGCAGACCCTGGTTGGCACTGTACCGGCTTGCCCACCCTGCCCCCTGCGTGCAGCCCATGCCGGACAGTTGGCTGGTGGGTGTTGAGCCCTCTCTGGGCTCCCAGAGGAAAGCCCACTCCTCCAGCCTGGGCCCCAGGAGAGACCAAGCAGGGCTGAGGGTGAAGGGTCAGCTGGTCCCTCCTGAAAGACCACCACCATGTCTGTCTCCCACTCCTAGGGCCCATGTGGGGCCAGCCTCTCAGGAAGGGCTCACCCTCCCCATACCCTGCCCCGAACTTTCCAATTCTCCCTTACCCTTCTACCCATGTCCCCGTTGGCCCCGCCCTGGGCAGCTGGCCACTCTGTCTTCATCATGTCTTCCTCACTCCCCCTGTGGGGAACAAGGCGGGGGCTCTGCTCACCTGCATTTCCAGGCCCAGAGGCTTCTGAGCCCAGTCCTTGCTGCCCCGACATGCCCTTCACCATCCCTCCCCACTCAGGGTCCCAGACCCAGAGGTACCCACATATACTCACACGCACACTCCAGGGGCACACACGCATGCATGCCCACACATGTGTAAGCTCAGTCCCCCAGGGCGCCCTCCGTCACTCGCACCACCCACGGTCTCCTGCCCTGACCATCTGAACTGGTCCCCTTCTCTGTGACCCACCGGAGCTGCGCCAAGCAGCAAGTCACGGGGCTCCTCCCTGTGTGGCCTTCAGCCCCATGGCCAGGACAGGTTGACCCCAGATCCAGGGTCCACTCAGCCTTCCCAGCTCCCACCCAGGGCAGGGGGCGTCTTACAGCCCCACCAACCCAGCCAGGCAGTTTCTCTGTTTACAAGGAGAGTGGGAAGGGGTCCTCCTAGGGAGCTCCTGGAGCTGGGAGACTTGTTTCTAACCCTGACTGGCCCTTGTCCCTGGATGCTAGGCTCACCTTGCTGATCTGGGCCTCGGTTCCCCCTCAGCAAAGTGAGGCCGAGGACCAGGGCCCCACAGGCCCAGCCAGAGCTGATGAAGACTGGGCAGTCTTGCCCACCCCGCAGCATTCCCAATTCCTAATTGACCCCCTAGACTTCTGCCAAGGGGTCTGCGGTACCTGTGGGGACCCCAAACTGGAGCGTGAGGGTCAGCTGGTCCAGGACCCAAGGAGACCATGAGGGAATGGCAGTGGCCATTATATGGGGAAGCCAGAAGGTGACAGGCCCCTCCCCAAACCTGGGGGGGTGGAGCCCCCTCCTCAGTGGGAAAGAGAGCCCCGACTGCCAGGTCGTGGATGGTGGTGACTGAGCTGGGGTCAAGGTGAGTAGCTGGGGACCTGGGCTGAGCCTGGTGTCTAGACCCAGGGGGAGTGGGGGGAACGGGGTGGGCCAAGTGTGTGCGGGCATGTGTGTGACTGAGCAGATGTGAGCGTGAGTGTGCGGAGAGTGCGCACACACACGTGCTTGCATGAATGTGTGTGCACGTCTGTGGGACAAGCCCAGAGGCCCAGGCTCTGGGCGAGGGGCTCAGAGGAGCTCCCAAGGGCTGGAGGTGGGGCTGCCTGGTCAGCAGTCCCAACAACGGGCCACAGTTCTTTCATGGGTGGGGGGTCCTGGAAAGGCCAAGGGTGCCCTGGGAGGGGCGGTGTGCACAGTGGCCTTGGAAGGCAGAGGAAAGTTCCCATGGCCGGGCCAGTGTTCTGATACGGCATGGGAGAGGAGAAAGAAAATATCAAGAAGCCACGATTATCTCTCCCCGGGAGAGGGAGTCACAGGACACAGCCTTGAAACCCTGACGCAGAGAAGCGGGGCCGCCCAAGCCAGGCTTAACCCTTTGCCTCCCCCTCCGCCCCTTCCCATGGGCCCATCCGTCCTCCTTCAGAGCCTCTGGGCACAGGCCCCACCCGGCCCGCGCCCCGCGCGGCTGACCTGGAGCACGGGTCCTGAGGACCCAGCACCCACACGTGGCATCCCATGGGTGCCACAGGACCCTCCGACTGAGGCCACATTGGCCGTACTGCCCTCCTGCTCAGGGAACCCCTGGAGCACAGGGATCTCTGCCCGGGGCGGGGATCTCTGCCTGGAGGGGGGTCTTTGCCTGGGGGGATCTCTGCCTGGGGAGATCTCTTCCCTGGGGGGATCTCTGCCCGGGCACCTCTCCCAGCCCAGTGCTGAGGATGGAGGCCCAGACTGCTTTCCTGTTAGCCCACCTCTCTGAGCCCTCGTCCTGACCACAGACAAGGGTGTCAGGACCCAGATTTAGCAAGTCAAAATTCAGGACACCCAGCTCAATTCCAAGCCAGATCAATGAGTAGTTTCGGTTGGGACTGTCCTCTGCCCCCCACACCTCTGTGAATGGGCGTCCTCGCTGTAGGTGCTAAGGCTCTTGTTCCTCTGGGGAGACGCCCTTGGGGGGGGGTTCCACGCCAAGGGCACATAACGTTTAACCTCATGCCTCCAGAGGGGCTGGCCATTTTCAGCACCTCCTTTGACGGGTGGAGAAACTGAGGCCAGGAGAGGCAGCCCACACAGTGCTGCCATGGTGAGCCGTAATCCAGGCCTCAGCTGTTCCTCTGTGGAGGGGCCGCCGACCCTGCCTGACCCTGGCTTCAGAGCACCAGTGGAGAATAGCCAGGAACTGCAGTGAATCCAAGAAAGTGTGGGGCAGGCTGGGGGTGCGGGCAGGCCACGGGGTGCTGGGCACATTGGGATGTGGGCAGGCAAGACTGAAGGCGCTGTATCCCACAGACTAGTGGGGTACCCTCTCTGGGAACAGACTGGGAAAATTCAGCAAGGGTTAACAGCAGGCTGCCTTCTGGGGGCTGGAAGCTGAGGCCTAAGCTGAGCAGACAGCTGTGGGACAGCCCCTCCCCCCCCAATAGAGCACAGAGAGGGAGCGAGTCATCCTGAAGGCCACCCCTTATCGCTCATCAACTCAGTGCCAAGCACGTCCTCCCCAGGCCAACAAGGATATTTTCTGTCTTGTAGGCAAAGGGAGGGCTGGGCCCAGTGCGCTTGGAGTTGTAGGGGCCGCTCTTGGGGTCCGCTGTGTCCAAGGTTTAACTGGACCTAGTGGGGCGGGGGGGACCCTGCCCCAGGTGACAGGGACCAAGACACAGTGCCCAGGCCTGCATAGACCCCGAGGGGCTGACCAACAGGAAGGCTTCCTGAGGGTGGGGTCTGCCTACAGGACCCAGGAGTGCTGCAAAGACCCCAGCCTCGGTGTCTGCCCACTGGGAACTGTCCTCCCCACCAAGGGAGGGGGACCTGGGCTGAGCCTGGTGTCTAGACCCAAGGGGGAGTGGGGGGAACGGGGTGGGCCAAGTGTGTGTGCCGAAAAGTCTGCCCTGGGGTCTCCCTGGACAAGTGGGAGCCAGGCTGTGTGGTCACATGGACAGGGAGGGGCCGCCCGGGGCCTGGCCTTCCTGCTCCCGGTTTGGGTTTCACTCAAAGCATGGAGGGGGCCACACAGCAACTCAGAGCAGGGTGGTGGGCAGGGCGCACCTGTTGGGCAGTGAGTGGCCCCAGCGTCCGCCTGCTGGGGACTCTCCCAACAGCTCGGCCAGGCCGATGCTGCCCCTTGGTGCATTGCTCCACCCCCTGGATCCACAAAACTCACATGTGCAGGGAGGCGACACCCCGAGGGTCGGGCTGTCCGGGGCCCATAGCCAGGTGGGCTGGCTGGGATTGGAACCCCCCACAGGGCGCCCAGCCTCTCAGCCACCTCCTCCCTCCAACCAGCGCCCCCCCCTCCCGGCAGCCGAGGGAGGCTCCTGGACTCCTGGCTCTCTGTGGTTTTCGGGGAAATGCACACAGTGGTCTGGCCCCCTTCCCCCAGCTGGTGGGGGACTGGCCACCCCACCCCCAGGGCAAACCTTTGGGCTCCTCCAACTTCAAAGGGAAAGGCAGGCCAGGGGGATTATGAGGTGACTGGAGGGGGCCCATGACACCCATCTGCGGGCAGATTAGGGGCCTTGCCTGTCACTGTCTCTTTATACCTTTCTGGACTTTGGAAGTGCTTTATAATGAGCAGGCGTTGACTTAAATCAGGAAAACAAGTGTAAGGAAGCAAATCCCAGAGCTCTGGGGCAAGGCCTGTCCCCACCCCACCGCCCTCGGCCTCCCTGTCTGTCTGTCTGTCTCTGCCCCTGCCTCTTGCCTCCTCCCCTCCCGAACACCCACCTCAAGGAGCCCAAGGTCAAGGGTGACAGTGTGTTTCCCAGAAGCCCTGGGGTGGGTTTGAGGGGGAGTTTGACCCTGGTCACCAAGCAGGACCCCTGTGGTATTCCAGAGAGCAGTGGCCAGAAGAGATGGCCCCTGAGCCAGCACTAGGCTGGAGGGCTGGGGTGTAAGGGGGGCTCCCCCGTCAGCCCAACCCCAGCAGGCAGCTCCCTCTCTGGCCAGCGTGAGTGAGGGCAGCAGTGAGCAGGTTTGGGGCGCCCCTACTCCCAGCAGAGGATGCCTCCATCGTGGGCTCAGGGAGCATCTGTCCC